ATCACAGGTCCATCACAGGTTTTGTCTTAAATGACAATTGAATGACAATAAATATTAATTATTCATTATTCATTCACATAAGGTGCTATTGAAAAGGTCTTAAAAAGTCTTAAATTGAACTTGTTACAGTAGTAGCATGTCAGAATCATGCCCTATTGATTCCTGTTTCCTTTCTTTTTGTTTTGCTAAGCTGTGTCTTAATACATGTTTTTTTGTGGCCTTTTTTTTTTGTACCATATCTGATTCAGTTGTTGAATTACCTAGCAGGTGGGATGTTTTGTGAACCCATTGATGTTCCTTTTTGACAGAATGTTTAGTTCCCCTTCATTAGAGGAAGAGGCAATTTTGCATTTCATAGTATAGTTATAGGATGTACTTCCTGCTGTTGAAGTCTATGGTGGAGTATGGATTATATGCCAGTTCAGCTCAATATCTCTGTGCACTGCTGGGAGACCCACAGTACACCTCACCACACATTTTTCTCTATGCCCTTCTCAGTTTTATTTATTTATTTATTTTTTAATCCCTCCATCTTTTTCCCTGTCTCTCATCTTAGATTGTTCACAGAAGCACAAACATAGATGCTTGAACTTTCATTCAAACTAAAATTGTCCAAATCGAAATTGAACAATTTTTAGACCCCGCTGTACATGTCAAAGCGGGAGTGTTTTCTACATGGAAGCTTGCGTAAGCCAAGAGATTGTTGGTTAGTATTGTGCATCTGAAACCATGCAAAGGTTCTTTTGTTCCTTTCATCCACTGGTAAACTGAAAAAATTATTGCATAAACAAAAACCACACCACAGGAAAGATTTTTTTAATTACTATTTTGAAAATACTTTACAATATGTTTACATTTGTTAACATTAAAGTATTAGGTATCATAAACTAACAATGAACAATGCTTTTACGGTATTTATTAATCTAGTTTAATGTTAATTTATACATGCACCACTGTTTGGGGTTGGTAAGATTTTGTTTTTGTTTTTGAAAAATTTAATAAAGGCTTCATTTATATGATTACAAATATATTAGTATAACTGTTTTTCGTTTTAATAAATTAAATTTTTTTATTGATAAATAGAAGGTTCAAAACACAAAAGAATTGTCACTTTTGATCATTTTAACGTGTCCTTGCTTAATATAACAATTGATTTCTGTAAAAAAAAAATCTCACTGACCCCAAAATTGTGAACAGTAGTGTATACTGATACATTTTTTCCATTTCAACTTGTACATACTATAATTAAAGTATCTCCATATTTTACTGGTGATAATTGAGATGACTCCCCATTTAAATGAACAAGGTGGTAGCAATAAACACTGTAAAAATGTGCATTCTTTGTTTATGATACCTAATGCATTAACTAATGTTAATGAATTGAACCTTAATGCAAAGTATTTATTATTATAATTGTTCTTTTCATATGAAGGGATATTTAAGCAGTATTTTTTTCTCTAACCGCAGACCTATGAGTGAGCACTAGTAAATAAGCTGCTCTTTTGAAGATTTGAATAATGAATGGGTAGCTTGTTGTTATGGACGCGACGTGTAGATTTGCTGCCTCCTGTGTTTCTGAGTTTCCACGTATGTGTGCTGAGAAGCTGATAGTACTGCAGGAACATTGATGGATTTGGGAGGTAATCACTGGTCAGCTGTTTGTCTACATATTTTTCATTGGCCTGATGGATGCTTACGGGCCACCGGGTTGTGACTTACTTCAGGATAATATACATTTATTTTGGAATACATCATCAAGCATGGACTGTCTTAACGGTGCAGTTTGTTTGAAATAACTTCACAAGCTATATTCTTTCAACTTAGCAATGTGACACGCTATTAAAAATGGATGAAGTTCCCTCATGTTTTGATGTGTCCAAACACAAAGTAAACTGAGTCTGTAGTCACAAAAAGTAAATTTCCTTTAAAACCAAAGTGAGTTGAAATTGCTCTCGGGGTACGATTAGCATGTCAGGTCAAGCTTTGCAATGTCATGAGAGAGATGGAAATTTGTGTGCCACTTCGCTGCATGCCATCTGTATCGACAAGCTTTCTGTTTACACTCTCATGTGGCCATTCATCTTCATTTTCCTGCATTTGAGTCGCTAGAGAGGGATTGTTTGTTTCAAGTCTAATTCATTGCTTTTGTGTAGGTGTTGGCTGGGATGAACGTGCACCCGGCGGAGTTTGACGGGCTCAAACAGGAGTTCAGCGTCAAGGGCTACCCAACCTTCTGCTACTTTGAGTGAGTTTGCCTTGCTTCTTGACTCCAATGCACAAGCAAAGTCACCATTTGAAGACTGAATAAAATGGACTAAATTGCTAAGCTTTATGGCTGATTGATATAGCTAAAAAAAATTTATTTATATTTCTCTGCCTTTTGATGTTACAGTATATATCTCTTTATGTATTGCAATAGCTTAAAAGGCTTTTTATTGCTATTTCAAGTAAATAGCTAATGTTGGCAAGTAATTTATTTAATGCCACAAAATAGAAAAGAAACTTAATGGCCCAAAAAAAAAATCATCAAAAATAATTCATCGCAATATTCACTTAAGATTATGTTGCCAGCAAAATCATTGCATTTTGTAAGTAAATGATATATAGACCAGCCCTTCCTACTTTTCTTAAACAAGTTCTGCTTTATTATAACACTAGTGTTATAGAGTTGCACATTCATGATGCATTAAATCTAAAGAAGACTAGGAAAGGTGGATCAAAATGGTACTTTTTCTACAGTCTCATTAAGAGCCACTGGCTCGGTCTTATTCACAACAAATGTTTTGAAAGGATTTTTGGAGATGCCGGCGCTTTTCCTAGGACCATTCACTTGTCCTCTTTTTCCCCCAAAAGCCCAAGTACGTGAGATAAGTGCACATAAGAAAATGCACCATAGTGAACACCAGTTTTGTGGAGTGTTACTTTTAAATGTTAATTATTTTAAAAGTAGGTTATTCCTTTTTTAATTTTATGTTACTAACAAAAATACCGTTAAATAATGGATAAAGAAAAAAGAATGAAAGTCCAAGAATTATAATGAAAGACTTTCATTAAGTTATTCTGTTAATAAAAGATTCAAATACATAAAATGTTATATCTATTAAATATTTGTAGTTTGAACTTTGAGCACAAATTTTTTGACCGCTGCACAATAATAGTATTGTGGGTAGAGACGTGATTTGCATTAGTTGAAAAAGTACTCGTTTCTTCCACAAAATAATCTTTGCATATTAAATTCAAAGGGTTCAAATGAATTCATTTCTGAGACATTTTTGGGGCAGCTTTTTATATGTAGCATGCTAGAACTAATAGCCCCAGCAAAAGGCATGATTTATGATCTTAAATGAATCAGAGAATTTTAATGTGTATTCTCTGCATGGTGCAATTTGTCCAGAGCCTTTTCCCTGTAGATTGAGACTTGCGGCAGCAGTTGTATGCATTTAGCTTCTGTTTAGTGCTTCTTCATTACACAGCTGCTTTAATTACTAAAAGGTTAATTAAGCACGGCTCTCTGCCCAAGGCCAGGGCTGCGTTTTCCTAAAGCATCGTAAGCTAAGCTGATCGTAGAGACCATTGATGGCAATGGTTCTACGACCTACTTAAGCTTACAATGCTTTTGAGAAACGCAGCCCAGATCTTTACACGACTACACCACACCTGACCTCAGCACTGCTCTTTTGAATCAATTAATATTTCGCGAATGTATTAGTGTCTTCTGTAATCACTGATCAAAGAGAGCATAATTATTTAGATATATTTAAAATAAAAATATGTAATTTTATTTTATTTCATTCATCAAGACACTCCCCTAGCTAAAAATTGCTTGTGATTAGATGGCCTGCTGGTTGCAAACAGATTTACATTTAAGTATATGGTCCATAGAAATTTGAAAGTCACTTGAGGCAAAAAGTTTTTTTTTTTTCAAGACTAGAAAATCAAGATTTCGCATGACACTAAAGTGGAAATTCTGTTTGATTGACATGGGTTTTCCACTTTATTATTATATTTCTTTGTTTAGGTTGCCTCAGTGCTTTTGGATTCCAACTGATTAGAGACAGTTACAAATGACATCCCATTGCCAGCATCTCGGCTAAGCTCCCACTTGCTGCAGATTATTTTCAGTCACGGAAAGGGAGCAGATGATGGCAGATAAAACTTAAGTTTCCGATGCATGAAGCCTTCTTCCGCATGCTGCTGTGTGTTCAAAAGCATATCTGGATACATTCGTGATCTCGTCTGCTTGTGGTTGTATGGATTAGTAAGAGCACAAAGGCTGCTAGCTGAAGTCTTTGATTATGCTAAGAGCCCTGGGCCAAATGGCTTAATTAGCTTTGAGTCAAACGCTCATTTAAAATGTTTATCTTGGATGGAAAGAAGCAAGCAGCAGTCTTGGATGCCTTGGATCTTTGTTGTGTGGGTACAAATATCCTAAGCTGTCTAGTGCAATTAATGTTGAGAAAATAAGCACTAATAAATATTGACTTCTCCCATTTAGGATTTCCTTTTTGAAAGAAGGCAAGATTTGAAGTATGTTTTTGTAAAAAAATCAATACTAATAGCTTTAAACGAACCTTCTGTTTCTGTTTTACAAACTTTTGGCCATGTTTTAGAGAGAGGACAGGAAATAATGGGATTGTGATAGGAACGCAGGCCAGAATCGATCCCATATCTCTTGTACTGTGGCAGAAGCATGTGCACTAATCACTAGGTCATGGCTCCGACCTATTTTACAAACAATTTTTTTTTCCCCCTAAAAATGGTGTCTATCTTATATTGGTAAAAAAAAATTATTTGATCATGATGAAATGATTGTGTTGGTTTGGATTTTCTCAGCCAGTTTATGATTAAACCTAAAGAATTATTCTGCCCTTTTTTGTTCTTTTTCCAAACAGGAAGGGGAAATTTTTGCATCACTATGAGAATTATGGAGCCACCTCTAAAGACATTGCTGATTGGTTGAAAAAGTGAGTAAACCCAAGCCTTATTTTAACATACAAACATACACAGCCTCTCTTCATTCATTCTTATGCCCTATACTATCTTAAAACCTGTAAACAATCACTGTGTTTGTAAGAGGTGTGACATCTTGGACTTCTGCCTGCGGTCTCCACCGTTATCAAGGGAGTGTTTTACAGGAACTGTGGTGTGAAAGATATGATGTGCACTGTAAAACACTGGACGTAAACACTCCTCTGTGCCTCCTAACAGAGATGTGATGAGGCTTTAAGATCTCTGCAGTGTTTTAACCTACTATCAAAGTGACAGTGAACAAAATATACAAGTTTACAGTGCCTATGTACACGTCTCGGAGATTAACTTCACTAGAGCTGTGCAAGCAATGCAACATGTAATTTATGAACTGCATGAATCTTCTAGTCATACAGTGGCCCAGTATTTTGCCTAGCAAGAAATAAATTCAGTGACATTGCTGATGCTGTATATACTAAGTGTCAGGAAGCAGACTAGATGAAGCAAGCACTGTAGTGTGCTGAGCAATATTTGTATTGTTAAGTTTAGAATTATGTGCTTTGGCATGACACGTTAGTAGTTTGTGAGTAGTATGAGAAACCTTTTTATTGGCATAAAGTCTGATCCGCTTATTCTGGTCAATTTCCCACTTAGACTGGAAGAGATTTTGATCAATAGACCTATGTCACAAGACCAGCCACAGCTTGGTTTGTATTTTCTTGCCAATTAAGGGCAGGTAAATCTGAATTTGAAATTAAACCAGTGTGAAAAACATTCTGGGAACAAGACTGGGAAAAGACTGGTTGTGTTTGGTCACTTAATTGCTGCTTGCAGTTTTTTTTAAATGTTAATGATATTTCACAATATTACTATTTTTACTGTATTTTACTGTTTTTACTGTATTTTTGATCAAATAAAAGCCTGGGTGAGGCTCAAAAACAAATCTCGCTGATTCTAAACTTTTAAACAGAGATATTATTCAAAGATTTAGATGTCACTAACCAGGCCAGCAAATCTAGTTATTAGCGGTTTCTCAAAAATGATCACTGTAGCAGCGGTACATTATGATCACTTTTAGTGGGACTGATAAAAAAAAAATGTCATCCATAACTTCCTAAAGTTGCTAACCAGTTAGTTTGGAACTAGCAATTTCAATCAGCTCTCACCATTTTTGCTCATGAGACGGTCAATGAAGGGACTGTGGGTGGTCCATAGTTTGTGAGACACAGAAAATCATTATTGCTATTCCATAAACTATATGACAGCTGGAGTTCATTGACCAGTACAAGTGAATGTTAAAGAGACTTAAAATTGTGATTTCCTGCTCTCAAAGCACTTGCAGATGTATCCCTGGCACTTCTAGTAGACAAGTTCTTGGCTCTATTCACTCTACGAGGAAGCCATTTGGGCCGCTCTTATATGGGCACAGGGCCCGTGAGGAGACAGATGTAAATTGCGAGCTCAGACTAGCTCTCTTAAGTCATGTGGGTGTGACCGTTCCCCACCAGATGTAGAGCTGAAATGAATTGTGAGATGTGTATTGGCAGTGTGTTGGCAGAGCTTAGGTGTATCACATTAGTCATTTGGAGATTTTTGAGTCATGAATCTGAGTCGTGAAGTTCATAGGCTTTGAGACAACAAAAACATTTTGACTACTAGAAATGCTTTTAACTGCTTGTTTTATATGTTGCACAGCCCCCAGCCCCCTCAACCTAAAACTCCAGAGGTGCCCTGGTCAGAATCCGGCTCGGCGGTCTTCCATCTGACCGATGAGTCTTTTGACACATTCCTGGAGGAGCATCCTTCAGTCCTGATCATGTTCTATGCTCCCTGTGAGTATCAACAACACTGCTCTCGCAGGACTTGGGGCTTGAATGACATTGAAATTTAGGGGTAGTTAAAGGGTTAGAAACCCTCACGTCCCTCCAAACCAATATGTCTTCCTTTATTCTGTGGAACATAAAAAGGTCCACTGTTCTTTTAGACCCCATTTTCTTTCTTTAAATGGGCAAATACAGTTGAAATATTGCTCAAATTACCTTCGTTTGAGTTCCACAGAAGAAAGTCAGTCCTACAGGTTTGGAATGACATGTGGGTGAGTAAATGATATAATTTTAATTTTGGGGTGAATTCTTTAATTGTTAGAATTATGTTTGCTTGACAAGCAAGTTGTCAAAATCACTGTTATTATAATGTTTTGGACATGTTATTATGATTACATTATATTACATTATTACATTACATTATAATTCTCTGCACGCGTACTAAGGCAGAACTACTCTTTAAAGTACATTGGAGTACCATGTAAAAACCATTGTACAGTACATGCATATTTAACAGTATATGGATCATTGAGAATCATGGTATATTGTATATGAATGTGCCATGGTATTATCTTATTACCAGTCATTTTTGTCTAGTGAGGTCTAATTTGAACCACTGAAGAGGTCAGAGAGAGACAAAAAAAAAAAAAAACCCTGAGAGTCAATCTCTTAATGCTGGTTGAATTGCACTTGTGTACTGTTGATGTTTTTGTCTATCAATTTTATTCTCAAATGAATCAGCCTGACACAGATTTGCTGATACGAGCATGTCGGTAGTATTTCAATTTCTTGGTAGGTTGCTTTTCTAGTGATTGAAGGAAGATGGCTCTCAGCTTTCATACATTTTTGATCAAACACCTCTGATAGAACATATTCATTTCCTGTAAGGCACAGGGTGTATCCTACCAACCCGCCACTGAGCCTATATGCACATACTTTCTCTCCACATTAATACACTTTCAGGGTACTGAATGACTTGTTTACATTCTCATCAACAAGGTCAAATGCAATATCCTTGTTTACACACAAACATCGCTTCACATGCACTCAGCTATCATAATGCCAATGCCAATGACAACATTGGTTAGGCCTCTCAATGCACATAATCAACACTGTTAAGTTGTCAAGACAAAAAATTATGCTTTACTTGCATCAGATTAACTATAAGACAAAATGCATGCTGACACTCGCCCCTTAAGTGTGCAAATTTCCTGTGATCTGATTTCAAGTCACCCTTATTAATAATAATAATAAACTGTTGTACATAGTTCTTCTTACCAAAAATGCAAACCATTTATGAATCAGTGTCCTGATTTGTTCATATTCCTATAGTGTAAATAAATACATATTAAATCCAGGCTTGACTTAGAGAGTTCTGGCTTATGTTTACTGGAAAGGCTTTTATGATTATGTAACAGGTGGAGAATTGGAAAGGGATCTCTTTAAATACTTGAAAGGGAAGTATAATTTCTTTCCAGATGAGTGCTGTTTCTGGTCAATTTATGACTGACATGTTGTATTGAGTTGTTGTTGTTTTTGTGCTATGTCAATTATGCATGACAACCCTTTTGGAAAAAAAAGAAAAGAAAAAGCTTAAACTGGCCTAAGATGGTTTTCTGGTTTATGCTGGTTTGGCTAGTCTAGCTGACCTCTCAACCTGGCCAAATGAGTGTTTAGATGTTCAAGTACCCAAAACCTCATTTATAGCAGGGTTTTCCATATATTTTGATGTTTATATACTACCATTCAAAGTTTGGGTTCGGTAAGATTAAAAAA